GTTCAACGGCAGCTACCTCCTGGCGGTTCTGGAGAAAGTCTTCGCTGAGTCTGACCAGCGCGATTTCAAGTCGGCTTTCGCCCGCAAGGCAAAAGCTGACTTAGTGGCGTACGAAGACTTGAAGGCGAAGAAGGAGTCTGAGCTGAATGAGCTCCTCACCCGACCATATGACGACATTATGATTGAGGAGTTCATCGAGCGACTCCCATGTCCACAGATCGAGGAGATCGAGGAGCCTCCCGCGGCTACTCAGATGGATACCTCCGAACCGTCGTCTGGATCCACGGACTTGCCACAGGGCAAGAAGGTTGATCCGGTTAAGACCGAGCCGACCGATGTGCCAATGGAGACTGATGCTCCAGGAAGCTCTCCACAGGGAGAGGTACCTGGGGCTACTGTCGAGCCAATGGAGACCGAAGCCACGGAAAGCTCTCCACAGGGAGAGGCATCCGAGGTGAAGGTCGAACCTGATATGCACATGGGTCAGGAAGGAGGTAAGTCCGAGAACATCGAAATGGCTGAGGAAGGCTCACCACAGGGTGAGGAATCCATGCCAGACATTTCTCCCGAGAAGGATGATGAAAGTGAACTTCACGATCAAGGCATCTGGGGGAAATGCAAGACTGTTCCGGATCCTGAGTACTACCAGGCCGCGAAGGATGCAGAGGACCAGAATGAGAACGCGTTCGACAAGATGGGCAAGGCAAAGGAAAAGATCGAGCTCGTTGATCTCGAAGAGTTCAAACATTTCCTTAAGCAGCTCACCGAAATCGAACGACAAAGCCCTATGCGGCTGCTCTGCAAGCAGTTGCATGGATATGGCTATTCAGGCTTGTATCATACAGGACTTCGTGATCCTGATTACGAGCCCGTTCTCGCCTACAAGGTGCAGCATATGAGTTGGAGGGTAAATGTTCCGAACCACAAGGGACAGAAATACTCTCTTTCTATGGTGGATCTATTCAACCAACTCAACAAGATGGATCCCATCTATGAGCGTCGTCCCGACAAAAAGGACGTTGTTTTTCGTTCTGGGGACGTTCGTAGCACCTTGGACGACAAGCTCATGGGCAAGGCCTCTGACATCCGAGAATCAGCACTGGAGGTTATGGAAGCACTTCTTGATAAGCTGAAGTCCCTGGATGCAAGCGGCAATCCGGCAACTCGAGAAGAACTTTTGAATGCTATGCTTCACTACTTCTTGAGCACCGGAGTCGATGAAGAGGAGATCGGGGACCTCTCTCTTGAGAAGATGCCGAATCCTTATATTCATCGTTTTGGTCTGGCAGAGGACTCCAATGTCCCTATCTTCACCAGCAAGACCAAGTATGCCGCGCTCATCCTCAATCTCGGCAACATGAGCAGGGGAAGAAAGCGTTCCGCTCCTAGCTCCGTTGCTAATCACATTGACTGGGACGATGCTACACCATCTAAAGGAGCCTTGATAAAATCGATTGCACAGTCGAAGACGCATTTGTTCATGCTCTGCGAAGCGGCTAAGATCGATGACTCCGAAGAGGCCTTCCTCAAGTCACGCGGTTGGCAATTCCTTCGTAACGAGTCCAAGGACCTGATGGTGGGAAGTCGTACAAATGGTGTCGGATCTTCGATCACCCGTCTTGCCGGCTCCACTCTCAGTGGATATGCCCACGAGTCCCTTCCAATAACCTATATGGTCGCGGAAATCGTGTATGGCATGACGTTACCGACCGGTCTCCAGGGCAGTCGTGGTGATGTTCCAGATGAGTCACTGACCAAGGTCTTGGAGCGGGCTGGATCCGACCGGCTCAGAGTTTGTGTCTTCCACCTCCACAACGACGCGGCGGCAGACAAGGTGGCGTTGGCTCATGAAGTGTTGGGCAACATGTTCATCGACTGCTTGCACTACCAAGTCGACCTCATCGGTGGCGACGCCAACATGGCCCTCTACCGGGCCACCGGCAGAAAGCAGGAGTCGATGGATATTCGTGGCGGGATGTACCAAAGCCTTCTCGACTACTTCTTGGAGGCCTGGTCAGAAAGCCCAAAGTGCCCACACTTCTGTTCGCCTCGTGCGAGACATGTGTCAGCAAACGCCATGTGGCTTCTGAAGCAGTATGAGGACACGCTGGGAATGCCATACAAGGAAGCTAAGCAACCAGACTGGAATACTTTTCCTGGTTTGGATCCTGTTATGGCTACAGTCATGGAATGGGGACACAGCATGTCGGACGATCAATGGGCGGAGTTTCCGTCTTCAAAGACTGAGTTCGACATCCATGTCTCTGAGTGGCTGTTAAACTCCACCAGCGCCGCGTACCTTCTCAACGATCGGGACTATGACGCTCACACTCCGCTCCTCATCGAGGTTCACGCGAACCAGTACTCTGGAGGCAGGATGAGAGCGCTCAACCGCAATCCCGACACCGTGAAGGAAGCCGCGGACAGAAGAAAAGAGAGACAGAAGCTGAACAAGGCGCGTGGTTCTGGTTCTACTGGTCCTGCAGCCGCACCACAGGGAGCAAGCTCTTCTCAGGAAGAGGCAGCTTCTGGTGCTAAAGCTTCTGGTTCTCAACGTCCTCAAGAACCCGCACAACCTCCTGGTGGCAAGGAAGGCGGCAAAGGAGGCAAGTCCTCCAAAGGAAAAGGCAAGGACGCCGACAAGGGCAAGTCCAAGGGCAAGACCAAGGACAAGTCCAAGGGCAAGGCCAAGGGCAAAAACTGACTAGGTTCAGATGAGGGCGAGGACGCAGACGTTGACGTTCCTGACGAAGACGTTGGTCCTGGCCCAGCATCCTTTGGTGATAGACCGTGGTTCCCATTTCACCTACAGCTTCATCACTGGAGTTTGGAGAGATGGTACTACCCACACTACCAGCTGCTTCATCCAGACGACAGTCCTCGAACTCGTCGAAGGGTTGAGCAGTACAACCAGAGGATGATGAACCATGGTCCGTTGGAAGATGTGGAGTGAATGTTTCACGGAATGCTTCTTTCATAAGAAGGTATCCAGTTTGAGCATTCGCCATTTCATAGGAAGATGCTTTTCTCATGAAGAGGTACTTCCTCAGAGACCTTGTCAAAAAGAAGATACTTATCTCAGGATAAGATACTTCTCATGCCCTTATATATTTGCCGTGTCGCAAGATGTCATGCTGGCATCAAGTGGAGCTAAGCTCTACAATCTTTTATGTGACAGTAAGCTTTCCGCCTGGAGAGGAAACTGAACACAAGTGGGCAACTTTCAAGCAAAAGTTTTCAGTTGAAGATCCGTTTGCGTTTTCGTGCGTGTTCTGCTCTTTTCATTGAAGCTGTCTTCAGGTGAGAGATGTATAGATTCTCTTCAAGTCGCAGATGTAGCTCAATACTTCGCTAATTCGACCGAGAGCAATAACAGGCTAGTTGAATGCCGACTCCACGGCCATGCAGCTCTACGTGTTTTAAATTTGTGCCTGGTTGAAACACTGAATGTTACACATCCAGGTGCCTGTCTGTTTCACGTATCACTTGCATGTATCCATGCCTGTTGCTCAAGGTTCTAGTGCAGTGGACTACAGCTGTGCGCCTGTAGCAAAAGAGACACCTGAGTGCCTGTGTTCCTGTACGCCTAGCGAGGGGATACACTGGGGGGGGGGGGGGGGGGGGGGGGGGGTGGGGGGGAGGGGGGGAGGGGGGGGAGGGGGGAGAGGGAGGGGGGAGAGCTCAGTGACACGTTTCCATTTTTAAGGGGGGGGAGTGGCCCCGATTTTTGGTGTGGGTCACTGGGGAGGGGATTAAGAGGTGGGGAATAGAGGGAATCCGAATAGGAACCTGACCGCTTCGGCTGGCCGAGGCGAATCATTTGACAAATGCCTGGGAGAGAGAGAGAGAGAGAGAGGGAGAGGGAGAGGGAAACAGCGAGAGTTTGGTTCCATTGACTGTGCTGGGTGTTGGTCAAAGCATTTTTCGGTGAAGCAACTTCGGGCAGACTTGCACACTCGCCGGAAAGAAGCCGCACTGAAACCTTCTCACTCTCATAGTTCAGCTCCGGCCGGATGTCTCCTAGCTCGCATGACGGCGAAGAAGCAGTTTACAGTTGCAGCTGCAAGTTTCGTTTGCACCAGAAGTGCCTCCAAATTTGAGCTGTTTCGCCCCACCTCAGCACAAAATGTTGCTCTAGTTTATGCGGCCTTGGCTAAACAGAGCATTCATCAATGCCCGGCCGGGCATAGAACGCAAGATTCTGATCCGGAGGCTCGGGGAGCTCGATTTCGGTTCGCCAGGAACAGCAGCAAACCTGAAACACCTTTCTCAATGCGTTTTCCAAGGCCCTGGTACCCGGAACCCGTCCCAGAATCTGCCCCAGGTCTTGCCCTGATCTGCCCCAAACCTTGTTTCGGCTGAAGACGCTCACGCTGTTGGGAAAAACCAGCCTATAGGACCTGCGGCTTCGCAGCCAAAGAACTCGAGGCCCCGACCCTTTACCTCCTGTATGCTTCAATCTGGAGATAAAGCCTTGCGCGAGTGTGAGTGTCGAAACCTGAAGCCCAACGCCCTGTAGACTTCTGTGAGGAAACCCTGAAGAAACCCTTGAACTCCGTGAGCATCTGCAGAATCTGCAGGGCCTTTGGAGATGGCAGCCGGGCTGCTTTTCACGCGCCGCTACAGCCTCGTAGGCCGGCCCGGAAAGCTTCCTGAATTTTCTTCTGGAGGCTCAGCAGGGTCGTAGATGCTTTGAGGATTTGGGAGTCGAGAGACCTTTGGGGCTTCACTCGGAGGTTTAGGACGGGGTTTAGGTTCAGAGTGGAGGGCACCAGAGTGCAAGCAACAGTGTGGAGGACAGTCAGGTCGACGAGAACTCCGCAGGTTTTACAAGGTCAATCGGCACATCCCAGGGCATCTACGAGCAAAGGCCCTCAGAACTACACATGCGGGCCCAGCAAGCAGCCCACCTAGCCCGTCAAGCGAATTAGCTTGGGCGATCAAAGCAGGCACATCGTCCGACTGAAACTTACAGCATCCAGCGTACAGGGAGTTAGAAGATGGCCGTGACATGGTCCTGCAAGCTGTGCATGCAGCGGAACTCCATCGAGGCCGACAAGTGCGTCACTTGCGGACGGCCCCCAGACTGGGTGCCAGCACAGAGGCACCAGGCTGAGCCCCAGGGCGAACTCGAAGTGTTCCGGCCCAGGGAGTTGGCACCGCGGGATCCACCCAGAGAGGTGCAGCCCGTGGTGCAAAACTCCCGAAGCTATGTGCAGCTTTGCATTAGTTTTATTTTAGTGATGCTTAATGTGATCCTGAACATGCTTTGGCCTGTCAAATTCTTGCGGATGGATGAACAGCTGCGGGTCCAGCACCTGACCACTGTCACAGTGGTGAATGGTCCGGGGCTGGTGTGCATCAATCCATTCAAGACCTGCGCGATCGTGAAAGCAGTGACTTTAGGTCCGCTAGACTACGTGCGTGTGCGCGATGCCATGGATGGCACTGAGCGTGCTGTGCACGGGCCACGATTGTTTTTCCTGGGTCCCTACGAGAAGATGCAGGCAAGTGGTCAGGGAGTGAGTGTAAGCAACATGCAGTACGTGCTGATAGAGGACAAACAAACCGGAGAGAGGAAAGTACAGCGTGGGCCATTGGTGTGGATTCCAGGACCTCGAGAAGAGGGGAAGGTCTTTAACGCCGTCCGACTTTCCAGCACAGAGTATGTCACAGTAGAAGATCTGCTCAGTGGAGCTCGGAGGGTGGAGAAAGGACCTTGCATTTGGTTTCCAGGTCCATATGAAGAGTGGGAGCAAGGGGAAGCAGTCCACCTCAGTGGGACCGAATACGTGACTGTTCAGAACGTCCTTTCCGGCGAGAGACGTGTAGACAAAGGCCCTTGCATGTGGTTCCCCGGTCCGCACGACGAGTGGACAAAGGGCGCCAGCACCAGCCTGACTTGTACGCAGTACTTGACTGTCTTAAACAAGCTTTCCGGAGCTTCTTCACTGGTCAAGGGTCCTTGCATTTGGTTTCCTGGGCCATACGACAGCGCCTCACAGGTGAGAGAGGCCGTGGTGCTGCAGGATGATGAGTACGTGAAGCTGAAGGATATCTCAACAGGGACGCGTTGGGTTCATCGTGGCAAGGGCCTCCTTTTCCTGGAGCCCACGTGGCGCGTCGAGAGCTCCAACGCACGAAGTTCAGGCATTCAGAAGTCATGGGCACTCAGGGGCCGGGAGTTCTTGAGGCTACAGGTGGCTCCACACCTACGTGTGACCAAAGGCTCCTGAAAGCCCGAGAGGGTGCATACAGGTCACCCTTTGCACTAAAGTCGAGGTTCCAATGTTACTTCCGAGTTTCACCAATTTCCATGACACTCTTGGTGCCGGACAATTAAAAGTGCTGCCCGTGGTCCGGGGCATGCGAAATCCCCGCGAAGAGAAGGCTAGGCATCCCAAGTCATATCACTTGCACACTGTATCGTGGAATTTTAAGAGCACTGCCTCAAGCTGCTATAGTCCCTGGCCTGAGGAGAGTCGAAGCACGATTAATCCAACCGAGTCACAAATTACTTCACAAATCCCGAGCAGCAGGCCTTGTTCAGCTTTGTCAGGTCTTCGGCACCTTGCAACAGCTAGGTGCATTTAGCTGGCAATTCCACACAGGCTGCACAAGGTTTGCAGTCGAAGAAGCCTCATTTGCCATGCTTCGGCTTGGAGTACCCTTGCCCCTAGGGCACAACATTCAGTCTCAATTTGTCGGCGGGAAGCGCGACCAGCAAGCTGTCTGGATGGCATAGACGTAATGGGCAAGGGGAAGTATGTTACGCTTTCCGCAACGGGGGCCCACCGAAAGTCTAGGTTTGAGTTTCTGATGGTTGTTTCTTGGCCTCCCCTCGGCATCACTGACGCAGTCTTCTTCTCTCAGCTCCTTTGCCAACGTGTGTATTGTCTTCGTTTGCGATTGCAATATCTTTTGGACATCCTCATCTGCTGCCCTCTAATAGAAGCGTGAGGAGCCGAACCCAACTCCACAAAACAAACATCAAAGCCCTCTTGCAGCTCCAGGGTCCGCGGCGCTAGCAGCCTTTGCCAAGCAGCTTGCAGGCACACCTGCGGTTGAGATCTTTTAAGTATGTCTATTATGCTGCAAGTTCTGAAACCGATGACTGTGCAACTGAGTGGTCCCCTCTTGCAAAGCAGCACATCAATCGGCAAAGAGATTGTTGCCGACTAAGAGCCGTACGATTGCGCGTCTGAACCGGTAGCAGCACAATACAACTCCTACTAAGTACTTTGAAGAAACTGCTGCGGTCAGGAGATTAGCAAATTACTATGGTGCTGGTGACAATGCATGTCATCACCACCAACCACCGCCAGCGGCAGCAGCAGCAGCAGCAGCAGAACGACGGACTGACAACAATCACTGAACCACCCAAATCGAAAGAAAAACAATTGCCAAGCGAACAAAACACAAACAGTAACAACTCCTCCTCCTCCTCCCACTGCTCCTACTCCTTCTGCTACTGCTACTGCTATTGCCACTGCTGCTTCCAATTCTGCCACCCATACGAATACCACGACCACAGCCACAAAGACGACTACTATCATTATTCGTATTGCTACTGCTACCTACTTCCACTGCTACTGCTACTACTTCTACTACTACTTCTACTACTACTACTACTACTACTACTACTACTACTACTACTACTACTACTACTACTACTACTACTACTACTACTAGTATGCTACTGCTACTGCTACTCCTCCTGCTGCTGCTGCTGGCTGTTGCCTACTCCTGCTCTAAATCCTGCTCTTTCTCCACCATCAGTGATGCCATGAGCATCAACAGCAACTGCGCAAGCATCTCAGACATAATCAGACTGAAGCATCCAAAAGTGCCCATGAGGTGCTGTAGGATTCCTTCTTGGCCGCACGCTGCTTCGACAGCACCGTGGCCCGGAAAACGACTTGCCATATTAGTCGTCACACGACTCGTAGGTGATGGGTTGATCGGGATCCACTCCAACGAGACTCCATAGAGAGCCCCAGGTATGTCAAAGACAACATTGTGGCGAAATTTGCGGTCTTCAAGGCTGTGGCGCAGGTTCGACTTAAGTGCGGGTCGGAACAGGAGGGGTGATAGATGCACTGCTGGGCTTCTGACTCTGGTGTTCAAGGCGGGTGGCCAGGTGACTTTAGCGAGCGTGAGCTGTACACACTGCAAGCTTGGGCAAACACCTGGGATCATGTTGCTTCGTAGGGTCCGACAGGGACATGGAAGGCAGGGATTGTCAGTGACTGGTGAGGCGGTGAAGACCGAGCCGTTTACCGTTACCTGCAACTTGGCAGCAGCTGGCGGTGCTTACTTGGGATGCGCCGAGTCCGAGATAAGCAGACGTGAAATTCAAGGTCTCACTGGAGCAGCTGCAATTGCCTTTAGATGACTTCGCTTCAGGGCTGTTGCTTAGGGCCATGTCCGATTTGACGACGCCATGCATTTTGTGGCTGAGATGAGGCATGGTGCGATTTGCGCCTATACCCACAACTGCAAAGGCTATGGGGCTTGCAGCAGCCTGGCAATCAGTCCCCATTTGATAAATTGCATAAGGCAGCGGCTTGGCATGATGCTCTGCAGCTCCACCCGTGTGTGCTTCTTTTTTCCTCCTTGTCCTTGACAGTTGCGGAATGGTGGATTGGACAGAAGTGGGATAGACTTTCTGTTCTCGGCCGCCCATCCTTTTACAAAGGCCGTCGAGGTTCCGTTTGGGCCTTTCCTGCTGGCATCCTCACTCTTCGGCGCGCCTTGGAGTGCCTTGACCGTTAGCAGGCCTATGTGGCACCCCAGTCGGGACCCATGGCCCTGAGACCTGTTCGGCAACGGGCGGCTTAGCACCGTGTCGCCAGATCGAATCCATGGCTCTTGGGTCTCTGTTTGGGTTGCGGGATCAAGGGAGGTGAAACCAGATTTCAATGCAACGAACCCTCTCTCCCTCGTGGCTCAAGGCATACTGAGCGCCGTGGTTGGCTCCTCCTTGGCGTCGCTGCCCGAGGTCAGGATTCGGGGTTTCAGATGTTGGGGGGCTGTTGAAACAGTCAAGAGGCTTCGGAGGAGTTTAAGAACTTGCCGAGTGCATGTGGGGAAAGTAGAAAGTCATTCGGCGCTTCGCACTGCACCTGCGTAGCGGCAGTGGTCGTTCAGACCTGGATGGAGAAAAGCCCGCTAAAACGGGGTCCTCGAATTACTGGCTGCGGGATCTCGGATTTCTCCGAAACTGGAAGGCCTGGACTCTGGGACACGTTTCCAATAAGATAGACGATCCTCGAGCTAGGCACCCGAGCAGCCTTCGCACTTAGAGGCTGTTGCGGCTGACTTGTTATCTTGTCCACCGAAGGAACCGTACTGGGTGACGTTGGGGTACGACACATCCCAAGCAGGGTGGGACGTTCTGTGTACAATTATGCGTGCATATATATATATATATATATATATGTACTGGATGGAAAGGGTTGGCCCAAGCTTGGCACAGGTGCTGGAAGGGCGAGGTGACGAGAAGATGCGTGTGGGGCCCTTGGCACGGCATCAATAAGATCATCAAGAACTCCCCCAACTGAAAGTCCAAACCCTCATTCATAGCACATGTCCAGGGTTTGGGATTTACGACAAACAATCAGCATAGCTTTATCATCAAAAGATACCAAAAGCATCCATGGGAGGGAAAGAATAGAGAGAGAGAGAGAGAGGGAAACACCCCTACACCACAGCCCTGGCGAAAGAAAGAAACCACAAGCGTGCGGGGTGGAGGGCGTCAGACTCTTTCACCCTAACCCTGACGAAAAAAAGAGAACCAACAAACCTTAATGTTCACAATGCCACCGACGCCATGTCGATCTCACCCCTGCAGTGTGATCTGTGCATTCGATTGGCTTTGGCTGTCGTGCTGCACCGCACCCATGGTTGGTGGTGAGCCCGAGTACGCAGCAGCCCCGCCTCCACCACAACCAGTTTGCACAAGAAGCACACACGCAGAACAGCAGACAACAACAAACCAATGTATGCCCTCTCTCTGGGTGTCAATGAAAGCATGGAGTGCTCCACACTCCCAGGTTACTGCTCGCCGGTTGACTACTCCAACTCACGCATGTGTTGGACACACGTTGATCCCTCGGTGCTCACTCTAGAATCTCTAGACAAACACGTTATGGAACGACCGCAGCACCCGAGAGCAATCAGCGAAAGTTTTCACGGCCTCCCAAAGCCCCAGAGAGTTTGGGGGACCTGACGGCCGGCGGACCTAACCAGTCCCTCATGCCCTCAAGAAAAAAACAAAAAGAAAGAGAGAGAGAGAGAGGATCCTGAGCAAGGCGAAGCAAAGAGAGAGAAAGAGAAAGAGGGACACAAGCCCCGACTGAAATTCTGCGAAAATACACGTCGCAGCGGGCACAAGCTCATTCACGAAGATGCTCACTTAGCGCACGTAAGGCAGTGCGGCAGATCCGACACAGAGAGTCCGCAGGGAACTGAGGTCTGATACTCATGGTAACTTAGTAGGGTTGGTCTGAAGGGTGCTCCGGTAGCTTCGAATCAACAGCCTCAAAATCGGGTGGTGCCGCAGGGGTGGGGGCTCCTTGACCAGACCTTTTAAGGTTTATAGTAGCGAAAGACAGACTGAGAGAGACAGAGTGGGAAGGGCTTGCCTGCAAACTCAACCCAAGCAAAGCAAGTGGGAAATATAAACTCTTGCGAAAGACAGAAAAATTTAGGATGCGTTGCCAGTGTTAGTGTGATTGGCAGTTTGGATAAGCTCATGTGAAATGTGATGGGATGCTCCGGGAGCTTAAGGTCTAACCGGTGAGGTGCTGCTGCTCCTGCTGCGCTGCTCCCCCTGCTCCTGCGACTACACCACCAACGGCTGCTGCTGCTCCTTCTATGATGACCATAACAACAGCTGGTCCGAATGTCAAACAAACAACAGCTGCCTACCGCCGCCACTTCAGGAGCTTCTCCATTCATGGCGCCAGCAGCCCATTCTGACAACCGGGCCCTCGACTCAGAGATCTTGGCCTGGCATGCTAGGAGAAGTGTATCAGGCTGTTTGGTTAGAGTCACGTCTTGCAGTTTCCGGGCCTCCGTTCCGAGAAAGTTGACTAGTGATTAGGTCTCGCTCCCTTTTTTAATCATCTACCCTGTTTTACCTAGAAATGAAAGCAGCCGGGCCCTTTCCTCCGAGCGGCTACAGTAGGCTCCTCGTCGCGACGGTGCTGCTTACGGCCTTGTTGCCCCACGGCTCAAAGTTTTCGAGTCAGCAAACTATCCGAAACTCTTATCCAAAGAGGTACACGGAGGTGGACTCAGAAGTGTAAAGTGCTTGGTACAGACAGGGGAGTTCGATCAAGGCAGTAGGAGAGTTCGCGAAGTTCGTAATTTTAGCCGCTTGGACACCTACTTGAGACCTTTCTAAACTCCCGGAATCAAGCGTGGGTGATTGCCGTGTTTGGCCTGGTGAGGATAGCAAAATCGCGGAAGATGTACAGCACCTACCGTGAGCTCATGGCTAAAGCCAGCGAATAGCCGAGAGAGAAGTCCATGGGCAAAAAGCACCGCGCTGATGCATCCGTCATCTTCGCGTGCGAATGTTAGCCTGCAAGATAGCCATCACTCGTCCTACTGAAGTGGGCATGCAGAATGAACGTGGAGTTTTGGCTCGAATCCACGACCGCAGGCCTAAAGATGGTTGGGCTACACCACCATTCCACCAGAATGCGCCTGTCATGTCACCGCTTCAATGACACCCAAGATATGAAGAGAATGCCAGAAGAACCAAAGCGAACGACAGTTCCTTCTTGCAGCCTGCTGCTGGTCCAAGCCCCGTAGGGAGGATGGCAGAAGACTCTCGGACAAGCAGCAGTAGTAGTCGCTTAGTGGTCGTCGTGGTGGTCGTAGCTGTAACTGTAGGGGCAGCAGGAACTGCCGAGTCCCTGCAATCGGTCTACTAGAGTTTCTATGCAGATTCAGGAAGCCCAGGATTGCAGCCGAGTCGATGCGGTGCATCGCGGCCGTGTTGGTAGTGTAGTGGTTGTCGTCGCAGCAGCAGTAGCAGCCACACATGCTCATTAGCAGTAGCAGCAACAGCAGGAGTAGGCGAAGGCGTAGGTGTAGGAGTACGTAGGAGCAGGAGTAGAAGACGTCGTCGTAGTGGTAGCACCAGGCAGATTGTGGCTGATGTGCCTGTGATTTGGAGTGCTAGCTGCAAAAAAGTAGGTGTAGTTATATAAAGAGTGATAGTACCAGCACCAGTACCAGTACCACTAGTAGTAGTGGTAGTAGTAGTAGTCGTCGTCGTCGTCGTAGTAGTAGTAGTATTAGTAATAGTAGGAGTAGCAGTAGCAGTAGCAATAGCAGTAGCAGTAGCAGTAGTCGTCGTGGTGGTGGTGGTGGTCGTGGTGGTCGCGGTGGTGGTGGTGGTAGTGGTACTAGTAGTAGTGGTAGTAGTAGTAGTAGCAGCAGCAGCAGTAGTAGTGTAAATAGTAAGTAGTAACTAAAAGTAGCCGTGGTAATTAGTGATGGTGGTAGTAGTAGCCGCAGGAGTCGTCGGGGGAGCAGCAAGCCGTACTGACAAGGAGCAAGTCGGTCTATGTCCCGATGCATCGAGCTCCTTCCATCAGTATGTCGCACCTTGGCTGAGCGTGCTTGAGTTCAGAATGGGAACATCGAAGATCAGATACTCCTAGTAGGAACAGAAGCCCACAGAAGAGGAAGAGGCGAGGAGGCGGACAGGCCAAAACTGCAACGAACACGCTATTGCGCTCCGATAGACGGCTTGATTGATGCGATTGATGCTTCAGTGAACTCTCCGCATGTGCTCTTGCATCCGGCCTTGCACAAGCTAATGGCAGTTGGGGTTGATGTAGGAAGCGCATCGCTTGAGGCTTTGCTCACTTCGGAGTACGAGCAGATCGTGCACGAGAATGAAATGCTGCGGCATGGGCACGCTCTGCCGATCCAGAAGGTCCATCCCTGTCCTGTCCCAGGTCTTTAAGTCGGAGAGGCGTCGTACCTAAACTTGGCTGGAAGTTGTTCTTCCTTGCAGGCTGCCTTCGATCTCAATGGCTCCAGGCGGCCTACGAGCCTCGGCGAGTCGATTCTGCCCAGAGCGCGTCATAAAGTGATGCCGCGATGCCTTGGCCCTGGATGCTCAGGAAATCCACGTCTTATCCATACAGCGCAGTTTGGGCCTCAACATCTGCCACGTTCCGAAAGCTGTATCGGTTCTCGTCCCAGATAGAAGCATTGGACCTGCACTCTGCCGTCTGCATGCGCACGGTGCTGCGGCGCGCAAGGGTTCCATTGTTCGGCGTTTCCACCTGAGGCTAGCCAGCAGACCAGCCAGGCCGCTTTGCACCGAAACCTGCAGTTGCATAAGACTTAACAAGGAGCAGTAGCAGATCCCAGCTGGTACCGACCTCAAGAAATCCCAAAATCCTTCGTGAGGGTTTTTAACTCCCTCTGCGGCTTGGCCACCCAAATGTGTTCGATGGTTGGGAATGAATTGGTTAAGCTGTTGCAGTAACTCTTGTGCCGATGAGGACAGTACATTTTTACAAGATGCTAGCTCGTTCACTCCAGGCTCCCAACACCTAGCCCAAACGAAGCGCCAGCAAGACATACAAAAGTGCCGAATGCGGGATGACATTGAGAAGGCTGCAGATGTTTCAGTTTTTTTGAGTGACTATCCGACAGATGGTTCAACCGGGCCTCGTTTTCCCATTTTGGAACCGACCAGTGCTGCTTTGCAACATGGGCAGACGAAACCAAGGGCTCTATAGTGGACATATAATAGCTGTATTAAGGGTATATACCTAGGGGTCCTTATTAAGGGTCCCTCCTTTTCCCGTTTGATAAGAATGTTTGCATGCTTGAGAGGAGCGCCTGATCCAGTCGAGAAAGCGAGTGCTACGGTTGCTGATATAAATCCTGCATGACCCATAATAAGGAATCTACCATAATTCTCATAGTTTAGGGTCATCAAGGATATCAAGGTAATGCAGGATTTATATCATCAACCGTAGCACAGTAGAGAGAAGGACTGAAGTCTTCTGAGCAAGACCGTATCGCAGACAGCTGTTCAAGCCAGGCGAGCCAGCCTGTTGCGGACAACTCCGACTCCGTCAGTCTCTTTGGCAACCATTCTGTCTAAGATGCAACTTCTACGAGCCATTGAGTATAAGTCCTAAAATCCGAAGGCGGCTTGCAGACGGCCCTCGGCTAGTGCATCGGCAGTGGGGGTAGGCTCAGGTTTTAGGGCAGCGCATGCTCCGTGGAAGGCGTTGGCTCAGGTGTCGCGAGACCTTTCTTTGCGTGGATGTGCTGACGAAAACAAAGCGAATGTCCGAGATCTCGGACGATATTATACCACGGCATAGTTGCGTGAAAAGCGCAGGGCCTGCTCAGGTGCTTCATATCCGGAATCTAGAGAAAGCAAGCCGAGGTTCCTTCATGAACATTTGCTGGAAGGTGGATGCTGGCACCGTCCCGTGGTTGCAGGAAGCCGGCTCTCAGAAGCAGCCGCATCGCATTCAGCAGCTGGCCGTAGACTCCATACCCAAGCTGGCAGTCCATTTGAAAGCATATTCAAAATTTGGTGTTTTGGGAAGAACTCGTGAGGTCCCCAGCACCCCGGTCACAACCATCATCAAGGCTCCAGAAGGCAGCGGGCACAGTGGCCAGGTTTCCTTCCTTCGTTTCTGTGTGAAACTGCGAACTGCCTTGGAGAGCCCGGAGCCGTAAGAAGAGACAGTAAGGGCCCACCCGACTCTCGGAACTTGAGGCATCCATCGTCCCTAGAGGCTCTGAAGCCGCATGTACCGCATGTCATGCTACCTGTGCCTTGTGGTGACGGCTGCTGCGCACCAGCAGGAGCTCCAAATCCGAAGGTCACAGGGTCTTAGAGGCTTTTCTGTTCCTGGGCCTTCGTCCATGAGCCCCTTAAATGCCAGGATATGCCGGCTGCCAGACCCCGTGGCTCGGACTTTGTGAAGTCTTGCCGAGCTCTTCTTCTCGGAGGGAAAAGGTGATTACTTTCGGATAGTCGCTCAAGGAGGGTACGTGCAACATTGTCAATCCGTGCTTCAGCTGCTATTGATGAAGCGCACAGGACTTGGTAACTTGAGTGCATTAAATGGTTCAAGGACCATGTGTGCATCGCTTGCTCTTGCAATTCTTGTAGGTTGCCTTCCGCTAAGCCAGTTCGTGGGGAACCACGCGTTCTGTTATGGGGGATGCTTCCCCAAATCATAATAAGTCCTAATATAGAAACCCTACGATGCTTTGGACCCTGTGGGGGCTCGGAAATCATGACTTCTCCTAGGCAACCGACTGCCGCGGCTCGGCCACGAGAGGCCAGGCCTCGATTCAACATTCACTGCTGCGTCGCAGTACCTATACTATTTTTTTGGGGGGGTCTTTGTTGTAATTATAGTATAATGGGCCCCAAAACCCTATTCTAGCTATTCAGGCCCCTCCATTACGCAGAAGGATCGTGAGCTTCGATTAACGGTTAGACAGAAGAAAGAGGCATCAGTCGGCGCTTTCAGCATCTTGCACACTCGTGGAAGAAGGCCTACTGTTGTGTGAAGGCAGGCACCATCGGATCACCATCGTGAACACCTCGCTACCAGTGCCAACTTAGTCTTAGTCAGCACCGTCAATACCCCGTGTAAAATGATACTGACGACGGCTAATAACAGGAGGCGATGCTCGTGATGGAAACGGTGACGAACTAAACAAGATGTAGCAAGCATAGGCGAGCCGTTGGCTGTGCACCAGGGGCACAGCAGGCGCAGCCTCACATCTGCAGGACTTGATCTGGTCTTACTCTACACACCAATGGCACAATCGGAGCCGAAGTTTCGAGGATTCCAACGACATGAGGAAATGCAGAGGGTGCGACGTGTCCGTGGTGTTCACCGGCAAATGAGATTACCAGATAAAGATTATAATTAGGCAACCGCGACAAGTACATATGACAGAAAGTCAGCTTGTCAACTCGCCTACTGATAGACACTCCAACTCGCTCTTCAGGAGCAGAGGCTCCCTGACAACCTTTGCAGCTACAAGCTGCAGGCACAAGGAATGCCAAGCACGACCCATCTCCACAGGATTGCAGCGGACTGCAGACTCCCTGCTCCAGCAGATCACTGCCCAGCCGAGCCCACAGCGAGGCACGCGCGCGCGCGCCCGGAAGAAGCTCGGAGTCGATTCGTGGGTTTCCGAAAATGGGGGACCCGAATATAGTACCCCAAATAGTAAGATCCTTATTATGAGGACCCCCAAAAAAGGAACCCCCCTAATTTTCGGAAGCTCCCATTCCGGCTTTAGTCAGGTCCCACACCGTGGCAGTAGTGGCCAATGCAACATCAAGCCGTTGACAGCAACTTGTGTTGAACATACGTGCACATATGCATTTCGTTTCGTCACACCCTGTAGCTGACACGGTGCTAGAGGCGGAATCATGCACTTCTATTGTCAGACTACTACTACATGGCTATTCGCACGCTTGGGATGTATGCGCGCATAGGCGCAGCCCTGCACCACATTTCTAGCTACAGCGGTGACAGCAATGCAAGAAGCGCAATACTGTTTTGTAAACACGAGCAGGGGGCATGCCACAATGCCGAACCGAATGAGTCAGCAGCATGTGCAACCTAAGACCTCAGCTGGCATCTGTACATGATGCTAGAGACTGTGATCCGCGGACATTACTTCTCGAGGTGGTTTGCCAGTCTGCAACTTACTGCACCTGCAGCAGTGTGTTTGCATGTCTTCCGCACCCGCACGATTGGGCGGACAAGTCGTGCCGCATCTCCTTGCTGCCAGGCCATGCAGCACCAGGTCTTCCGGAATTCCTCTGACATCAAGGCCATCTGAAGCTTCACTGGCTCTTGATTGTCGAGGATCAGGGTTGCAAAAGACGGAACACGTTCTGCATTGCGCTTGCGTGACAGAACCCGGTTGTAGTTTTGGCAGATGCTCACAGAGAGCCGACCGATGTCTCAGCTTCCCGCTCGTCCTCGATGTGAGCGACATACATAGAGAATACCAAATAACGCCACAGGGCAGGGTCACAAAGGTGAGGACGGTCGTGCAGCAGATTCGTTCGTATCTCCTCGTAAATTCGTCCATGATTGCGACTTTCTTTCAGCCCGAGCTTCATACCTGGTCGTATTGTCCCTGCGAGAAGGCATCAACGGCCACTTTCGCGTTTGCCAAAAGTTGTGCTCTGGGATCATGAAACTAGCCACAAGCTTCAACTCATCCCCTGCAGGCGATGATCTGTGAGCAGATCCGACAAGACGAGTCGAAAAAGGCCGGCCTCCAGCCATATGCAATCGGCTTCTCGGAACAAGGAACAGCATGTGACTTAGATTCAGATTACCGGTCCCTGTTCTTAAGATGCATGCCTGTAGATGGGCGCATCGTTAAGATCAAACGGCACTAGGCCCACAAGACCTCCCAAGTTTTGAAGGGGTCGGTGTTGCTGTTGCTTCGAGCT